AGAATTGGGCTATGAATATAAGTGTTTTTAACTTCAAAGTGTAGATTCTCTCTAATTTGATATATTGCCTCCTGTAACATGATATTTTATACTCTGTCCTGTTTTTGTTTTTTTCCTAATCAAAATTTCTTTAGGATGTGTTTTTTGTTTTGTTTTGTTTTTTTAAATGTGGTAAATATATAAGTAACACAATGTTTGTCATTTCTACCATCTTCGTATGTATAGTTCAGTGACATTATGTTCATCATGTTGTACAACCGTCAGAAAAAAAAATGCCAATCCCACTCACTTCATCAGCTGCTTTTTTTGCCTGGTTTGGCTGAAGAAATATTTCTCATCCTGGCAGGAATGACCTGCCATCTTTGGCTTATAAATGCTGGGCTCAATCGAAGCTGTGTACACAACTAAAGTCTTCAGTGGAAGATCCTGTATGTGTGTTTCTGTGGTGTATTTTCTAGAATAAATGTTCTGTATAAGTTGACTAATGGAAAATGTATCAGAGTCATACACACAGTATGTATGTATGTATGGTGATATAGTCAATGATTGAATTAAATATCCAGATGTTGTAGTCATTAGATGCCATCAAGTGGGTTTTGACTCATAGCTACCCCATGTACAACAGAACAAAACACTGCTTGATCCTGTGCCATCCTCACAATTGTTATGCTTGAGCCCACTGTTGCACCAATGTGTCAGTCCATCTCATTGAGGGTCTTCCTCTTTTTCGCTGGATGACCATCTACTTTACCTAGCATGATGTCCTTCTCCAGGGACTGGTCCCTCCTGATAACATATCCAAAGTATATGAGACGAAGTCTCGCCATCCTTGCTTTTAAGAAGCATTGTGGCTATAGTTCTTCCAAGACAGATTTGCTTGTTTTTCTGGCATTTTATGGTATATTCAACATTCTTTGCCAACACCATAATTCAAAGGCATCAGTTCTTCTTCGGTCTTCCTTAGTCATTGTCCAGCTTTTGCATGCATATGAGGCGATCGAAAATACCATGGCTTGAGTCAGGCGCACCTTAGACCTTACAGTGACATCTTTGCTTTTTGACACTTTAAAGAGGTCTTTTGCAGCAGATTTGCCCAATGCAATGAGCACATTTGAGTGTTCTGGAATTTCCATTCTTCATAATGTTATCCGTAATTTGTTAAATGATCCACACAGCTGAATGTGTTTGCGTAGTCAACAGAACACAGGTAAACATCTTTCTGCTATTCTCTGCTTTCAGCCAAGATCCATCTGACATCAGCAATGATATTCCTGGTTCCACGTCCTCTTCTGAATCCAGCTTGAATTTCTGGCAGTTCCCTGTCGATATACTGCTGCAACCACTTTTGAATGATATTCAGCAAAATTTTACTTGTGTGTGAATTGGTGGACATTCAACCATTTCAGGAGGTAGCATATGATCAAGAACCAATGGTACTGAAGGAAGAAGTCCAAGCTGCACTGAAGAAATTGGTGAAAAACAAAGCTCCAGGAATTGATGGAGTACCAACTGAGATGTTTCAACAAATGGATGCAGCACTGGAAGCGCTTACTCGTTTATGCCAAGAGATTTGGAAGAGAGCTACCTGGCCAACCAACTGGAAGAGATCCATATTTGTGCCCATTCCAAAGAAAGGTGATTCAACAGAATGTAGAAGTTATCAAATAATATCATTAGTATCACACACAAGTAAAATTTGAAGAAGAGTCATATTAACTGGTCTTCCTTGTAGGTGTACGTATATTATCCTATCACTGACAGCACTGTAGTTCAGGATAGATCTTGAAATGTTCTTTTTGATGATGAATGCAATGCCATTCCTCTTCAATTTGCCATTCCCAGCATTGTAAACCGTATGATTGTCTGGTTCAAAATGACCAATACCAGTCCATTTTAGCTCGCTAATGCTTACAATATCAACCTTTATGTGTTCCATTTCATTTTTGATGACTTCCAATTTTCCTAGTTTCGTATTTCATACATTCCATGTTCCTATTATTAATGGATATTTGCAGCTGTTTCTTCTCATTTTAAGTTGTGCTACATCAGCAAATGAAGGTCCCGAAAGCTTGACTCCATCCACATCATTAAGGTCGACTCTACTTTGAGGAGACAGCTCTTTCATAGTCATCTTTTGAATGCCTTCCAACCCGAGGGGCTTATCTTCCAGCACTATAGCATGCAGAGTTCCTCTGCTATTCATAAGGTTTTCATTGACTAATTTTTTCAGAAGTAGATTGCCAGGTCCTTCTTCCTTATCTGTTTTAGTCTGGAAGCTCAGCTGAAACCTGTCCACCATGGGTGCCCCTGCTGGTATTTGAAATTCTGGTGGCATAGCTTCCAGCATCACAGTAACACGCAAGCCAATACAGTATGACAAACTGACAGACGTGGGGATATTTCCAGATGACTGTATTAATTTGCTTTGTGTTTAAGCTATTTATTTTTCTGTAGAGCTTATGTTTCTCAGTTTCTGGTGCAACTGTCTTTGTCTAATGTATTTTTTCGATAATGTAGGTTAGAGTGGCTGGATTTAGCAAATAAAAACATAGGATACTCAGTTGAATTTGAATTTCAGATAAACAGCAAGCGTTGCTTTTAGTATAAGCATGTTTCAGTATTGCATGAGGTATATTTTCAGTTTAATGTAAAGTTCAGATTTAGCTGGACATACTGTATTTTATCTGGCAACTCTAACATAAATACAATTAGACATGTTCTCAACTTGCTTCTTACTCCAACCTCTTTCTGCACAATAGTGTTGCCAGGATAGTGATGATGCCAGCAAAGCTCTGACCTACCTCACTATTGATTTTTTGTTTCAGGTCAGTCCCACTTTTTGAGTGTTCTACTGGAAGGAAGGTTGGTAACAGTGAGTCTTCTGATCTGGAAGGAAGAACAAAAGGAGATGGTTTCTGTTTAGTTAATTTAGGTTGTATGAGAAGTAGAGGGGATGACACAAAAAAGTGTATAGAATAGGTGAACTCTGGAAATTAAACATTCAATAGCTGCTGGCCAATACCTCCCTCTAACCCTTTCTTAAGATCACACATTCTGATGGTCACTGTGGTCATCAGTTATGGCCTGACACAATAACCATCTATTAGTGATAACTGATTATCTTAAGCTCCTAATTAAATAATGATAGAATGCAACATTCTCATACGTTGATCTCAAAGATAGAATTGCTACTAAAATAATTTTTGACTCAGTTTACTAGATGTTATTAAACCACAAAATAACATAGGATGTGAATCTGTTGATTCGTATTAGATGTTATATTGCTTAAGATATTATAGTGAACTAAGCCAAATTTTTAATGCTAGAATTTTTATACATAAAGGATTATTGTTTCCCAAATGTACAAAAATTTATCTGAATAAAAATTGCACTTGGGGATACTAGAAAATAGCAAAGTTTTGAAACAAATTGAGGGGGTCTTCAAATTTTTTTAATAATACAGTGAAGTAGATACTTACCATATGCCAAAAAATAAACAAGGAGACCAATGATTATTGCCAGCACCAACACAACACCTGTGATAATAAGGGCAATCATCCAGGGTCTCAGTGAACTTGTTCTTCTGCCCAGTATTGATGGCCTTTTGAGAGAGGGTTATAACGTATAAACGTAGGATTTTAATACCAGAATCCAAGTTTCACACGTTTTTCCCCCCTTGGTAAGGAATATTTTTCCTGGAACTCATGGTCAGCTCATATTACTTTTAGAAACTTTTGAATATATTTTCCTATTAAAAAATAGGAAAAAATACTAGTAATAAAAATACATTTAACATCTGACTTTTATAGTTTCATCAAAAAGTCAGTACTACACTACAATTGACTGCTAAATATGTTGTTTCATATATTTCATATATTTCCTGGCCCATTAGACTAGAAGTTCTGGAATTTTTTTTTCTTTGTAAATGAACTAATACCATATATTTGGTTCATGTGATTAAAATTACAGTGAACCTCAGAGAGTGAGGGCATTTCGTGACTCTTCTCATTCTGGTGCGAAAATAGAGAGTCACAGAGTGATTACTAGAGCTTTGAAGTTGGATATTGGGAGAACTAGATCTAAGATTTCGTCTGTTTGGGCCTTTTTCACACCTCTACACTTAAACCCATAACCCACATTTATAGAACAAGTAATCTGCAATATATATAAAGGGTATCTAAAATGGGACGGGCTGAAGAAAAGGAATGAGATGAAAGAAAATTATAAGGAAGAAGTGATTAGCAAAGCGAAGAAGAGATCATTAATGTAACAAACAAAAAGTGGTAACTTAGGACCCATTACATTGTCTTCCCCTCTGAGCACATACAGAAAACAATTTTTAAAGAGGGAGATTATTTTGCAACAAAATACTCATCTTCAAAAGGATATGGTTACCTGTTGAATTGCTCCACTTCTAACACCAGAATCATCACTGTGACTGAACTATAGTCTTAAGTATGGGTTACAAATGAGAAATTGTTTCAGCTTACTTCCTTAAGCATACAGAAATGCCCTAAAATATTTATTGCTAGATGTTTTTTAAGAAATGAAATAATTTTTTCTCCATGATTTCTTTTACTACTAATAGAATTTTAATTTAAACCTTGACTAATTTCAATGGCTAATTTCAGTGGTACATTGGTGGAAATTCATAGGTACTTGATACATACTTGTTAACTAAAGGAGAGAACGTAAAGTAGTAGACAGCCCCATACCATGTACAACACAGAAGCTATTTTAGCAAGGGTTTTGCTAAGATGAATTACTTCATCTATGGCAGGGGGAGAGATGAGATAACACATTTATCTGGAATCAAATTCTAATTACAAATTTTGTACTTAAATATCACTAAGGGACAATTCTTTCCTTCATTTTCTTTTTGACTTCTCTCCCCCACTAATCTTTTCAATACAAATAACTTTGGTCAGACTATCCCAATGAGACAACTAAACAGGTTCACTGTAGTGCTGGAAAATCTAGCCTTATAGAAACCTCTGACATTCAAACCAAAAAAAAATGTAAGTGACTTCACCCCTGAGGTATTCATGCCAAAGTGAAGATGAGCAGTAACGAAAGTTACTCATTCAGCAGGTCATTCTAGAAAACCTTTCATGAATAATCAAAGCATTTTTTGTAAGTGTCTTCTTTTTAATCCCTCCCTACCTTCATTTAAATTCCAAGCGGTTCATTATCCAGACTGTCCCATGACGAGGTGTTGCCTGAAAAAAACCTCAGCAGAATGGAAAGAACTCTGTTCTTTTCATGTCAGCTGTTTTCCTTCAATGTTACAACCTTTTACCAAGGTCACTCTTCAGGACTTTTCCCTTTATGTAGCTCTCGTAGCTGTAGACCAGCATCTGCTCTTTTTCCTGAAGCTTTTCAAACGTTTTATTTTAACAAAATGTTGCATTTAATAATAATCGAGGATGAATAATAAAGAGATTTCTTTCAACCACAGCAATAACCACATGATTGCAAGGGTTCATGACCTCGAAAAGAGATTGTTCAGCAGCACGGTCAAAAGTGTGGGTTATGGAGTCAGCTTGCCTGAGTTCCTATACTGACTCCTCACTGAGCGACCTTCAGCAATCATTCAAACTCTTTGTACCTCAGCTTCCTCATTGGTAAAATGGGGATAATGATGCCCACCTTGTGAGATCACTGCAAAGATTATATGAGTTAAATGAGCACTTAGAATAGTAACTGAAATATGGTAAAGAGTTGACTTTATTAGTATTCCTATTATTATTATCCAGGACAAACTAATAATAACATCTAATTTTCCAAAAAGTGGCTAAGAGGGGTGGAAAGGGGGAATGTGCTGTCATATTTATAGGGATTGCCACTAGGGTCACATAACAATATGTGTATAAATTTTTGTATGAGAAATTAACTTGAGCTGTAAACTTTCACCTAAAGCCTAATAAAAAATAATTTAAAAAAGTGTCTAAGAAAGAATATCAAGGAATTTGTTCATAGATAGAGTGGAATGAGCTTGTGGAAGACGTGTGCTGGATGGTGGAATGAAATAAATAGATGTTGGGGGACTGGTGCTCAGGACCTCAGGATTTGAGTGGCAACTCTGGACACAAACTACTGTTTGGGAAGCAGCTTGGGAGCCTAGCAAAGCTTTCCTTATCCTTGTGGCGTTTTCCAGCGGATAAATGGGATTCCAAGCTTGGGGAATACTATGTGGTGAGCACATTTTGGAGCATTCACAGTGAAAGAGTTACTGAATGAAAATAATGGATATGGAAAGATTTAGGAAAATATGGGATAATCATCTAGTTGGGGTTTCAATCTGTTGCCTAGGGAGGACAGAATAACTTTGGAGGAAAGTTGTTATGCAAATATCAGGGGTGGTGGTGTTTTTATTCATAATAACAATGACTTAGTAACGACAATGATCATTATTTTAATTGTACTATCAGATATATGAGACTTTCATAAAATCTGTACTGTGGGCAGAAATACTAAAAGTTGTACAAAAGATTAAATGAAGATTTGTGTTTCATTTTTTTAATTTTTTATCATGCATTAAATGAAAGCTTACAGAACAAATTAGTTTCCCATTCGATAGTTTGTACATAAAGTGTTCCATGACATTGGTTTCATTCCCCACAACATATCACCACTCTCCCCATTTCCATCCTAGTTTCCCCTTTTCCTTTTTTCCTGATTTTCTACCCCTTCCTGCGTTCTCATCTTTGCTTTTGGGCAGATGTTGCCGTTTTGATCCTGTATAATTGATTTTTCTGAGAAGCATGTTCCTTTTGGGTGTTATTGTTTATTTTATGGGACTGTCTATGGTTTGGCTGAAAGGTGGTCTCCAGGAATGGCGTCAGTTCCAGTTCAGAACGGTATCTTATGGCCTCCAGTCTCTGTCAGACCAGTAAGTCTGGTCTTTTTTGTGAATTTGATTTTTTTGTTCTGCAATTTGTCTCCCACTCTGTCCAGGACCGTCTGTTGTAATCTCAGTCAGAGTGGTTGATAGGGTAACCAGGCACCATCTAGTTCTTCAGGTCTCAGGATCTTGTAGGCTGTGGTTCATGTGGTCCATTAGTCCTTTGGACTAATTGTTCCCTTCAGTCTTTGGTTTTCTTCACTCTGCTTGGCTCCGGACAGTAATAGACCAGTGGTTTTATCTTAGATGGCCACTCACAGACTTTTAAGACCCCAGACACTACTTACCAAAGTAGAACACAGAACTTCGTCTTTATGAACTGTGTTGTGCTAATTGACGTAGATGTCCCCTGAAGTGTTTCTTTTATATTTCATGTTCTGACAAGACAATCTGTGCGTCTTGTTTTCATAACCCCACATTATGCAAATAGCAAAGATATAATGTTTCATAACTGGAAATTTGCCTGATTTTATAATTCAAAGATAATTCAAATAACTGACATTTTAGTAGTAGATAAGAGCTCAGAAGGGAATAATTAAGGTCAAAGAGTGTTACCTTTCAAAGCTGTGCTCATTAATGCAGATTTATGTAATTGAGATTTATGGGAAGCTGGTCCTTGAAGGAAATTTAAGAGTATTGGGATAATTAAAACCTAATAAGGACCAAAAATAATGCATATGCCATTGATCTGGGCTATTGAAGAGAAAGTGATTGGCCAGAGCCTCGCAACTCACTTCTGCCAATTACTACTCCAGGATTTCTTTGTTGTACATTTTTCTACTTTCTTACTAACATTCATCATTAACCATGTCTCTTCTGCTGCTATGTAGCAATACATTTTTACCTCCACACTGAAGCAGGGGCTATTTCGAAAGTTGAAATATGCATAAATGCATTATTTACAAATCTCTTCTAATAAACAAGTCAAACTGTTACTGTATCTGACCACTGGAAAAAAGATTTTATTTAAACAACAAAAATGGAAGTTTGAGGAAAAAAATAAATAAAACAAGAACTAAGGTCTTTCTTGAATCAGAAAGAACTATTGAAAGAACTATTTGAATCTGCTGGAGAAGTCATGTGAGTGCCAAAAAGGAATGATAATAATAGGTAGGTGACTTTGACAGCTTCAGGGATCAAAAGCAGTTGGGAGCATTTATATTGAATGAAAACACTTTTGAACCTCCAGAGTCTTTTGTTCTCTTTCTTCCTGCCTTTTTTTCCTTCCTTCTTTTCCTTTCTTAACAGCTTCATTGAGATATATTTCACATACCATACAGTTCACAAATTAAAAATGTGCAATTGAATGGTTTTTAGTATATTCACAGAGTTGTGCAGTAGTCACCACAATCAATTTTAGAACATTTTTGTCATCCCAAAAAGAAACTCCATATCCCTTAGGCAATCAATTTCTCATTTCCCCAATACCCCAACCATAAGCAGCTACTAATCTATTTTCTATCTCTATGTATTTGCCTATTCTGGACATTTCATATAAATGGTATCATACAATAATATATGGTCTTTTGTGACTGGTTTTTTTAATTTAGCATAATGTTTTCAAGATTCATCCATGTTGTAAGATGTATCGGGACTTCATTTCTATTTATTGCTAAATATATTTCTTTGGATGGATATACCACATTTTATTTATCAATTTATCGGTTTATGGACATTTGGGTGGTTTCTACTTTTTGGCTATTATGAATAATGCCGCTATGAATGTTTATGTTCAGGTTTTTGTGTGGACATATGTTTTTCTGTCTTCAGGGTATATACCTAGAAGTGAGTTGCTGGATCATATGATAACTCTGTTTGACCTTTTGAGGAACTGCCAGACTTTTCCAGAATGGGTGCACCATTTGCATTCTCACTGGCAATATATGAAGGTTACAATTTCTCCACATCTTCACCAATCCTTTCTTTCTTTCTTTACTGTTCCATAGTGGTTTTTGTCTCTTTTCTTTCTTCTACCTATTTCTTCTGCCTTATTCTTATTACATAACTCTTTCTCTTCCTTAGTCTGTCCATTTCTTATTCCCCTTTCCCTTTTTTCCCCTTTATTTTATCATATTTTTTAAAACAAAATATATATTAATAAAATTATTCACAATTTTCCAGGTTACCCACTCTCTGAACCTTGAAATAATATAACATCTCCCTTTCAACAGCTCCTTCATCTGATCTAATTGTCTTTCCTATTTATCTCCTTTTTATTTCCCTAACACCGTCCTTCCTCAGACATGCACTGTGTTTCATCTGGGCAATCACTATAGCCGTTAACTGATCTCTTGATCTACAAATAATTTCCCTAACAATACTGCATGACTCAAAATTGGAAAAGATGTGCAGCAGGGTTGTATCCTTTCACCTTACTTATTCAATCTGTACAGTGAAAAAGGAATCTGAGAAGCTGGGCCATATGAAGAGAACGCGACATCAGGATTGGACAAAGACTCATTAATAACCTGCAATGTGCAGATGACACAACTTTGCTTGCAGAAAATGAAGAACACTTGAAGCATT